ATTCATTCAACATATTGATCCTACTGAGTGAAAGAAACATTTGAAGATACAAATTATATCCATTTCAAATATAACTGAGGCAACCTAAAGAGTATATGCAGGACCTAGGGCTAATTATTTGACCTGTCTGAACTTCAATATTCTCAACTATAAAATGGGGGTGATGAAAAGCAGACAGAGCACCCCCCAAATATACCACTTTGGCATATTGATTATTTTGAGCTGTAGGTACTCGAAAAACAGCAAATACAAGGAGAGGCTTTCTGTGAACTTCTATTACCTGCCTAAATCCTCTAAAAGGAACTCAGTTGTCATAAATCCCCTCCCCAGAAGAGTTTCACCAACCAAGGAGAACTGACTCTTACCACAGGAAAGGAGACTAGAAGTCGGCACCATACCGGAACTTTGTCACAAACTATCATACTTCCCTTCTATTCTTCTAAGGGCCCATTCATCTTTGCTAAAAATCACTTAATCTCCCCTAAGACGCCTACATCTCCTCCCTCGCCTTTCCCTATTAAGATGGTATAGAATTCCCTGAATTCTAAAGCCACCTCTTTGCATCATTCATTTTCCCTGAGTGTGTCCCATGTATATGTGAAGTATACATGTTAATAAACTTGTTTGTTTTTCTCTTGTTAATCTGCTTTTTATTACACGAGTCTCAGTTAAGAACTCAGAAGGATAGAGGAAAATTATTTTCCTCCCCAAAAGTTTCTGGTGACAGAGAAAGGATGAGATTGCTGAGATACCCTACTCACTCCAGAGCCTGCAGATGGGATCCTGGGAGAACTGGCAGAAGCCAGAGACAGGCAAAAATTCTTACGAAAAGTCAGCTGCCCCTGATCTTTGTCTGTAAAGCCCAGTTGAGACAGGAAGGTAAAATTTTACATTGCCCCTTCCTTTCCAAATTCAGATTAGCAAGAGAAAAACATTTGTAAAAATTAGTTCTCTGAATTGAGACTCTTGTGAATTTGGTTTTGGGGTACCCATTGGTTATTGATCCTTGCCTTCCCAGGGACAGCTATTACTTTCTTGTTTGTCTCCTTGTGTGTCCCAAGAACTTGGCTTGACTTTCTGCCAGCACAGGGCATGAAGGTCATTGGTTCTTGTGTGTGCAAGTGGCTCAACATCAAACTGGGGGTGCAAAAATACGGCCGGACAGAAATGGGGGTTTCACCCCATTTGCAGTTAGCATCCAACTGACTGTTGCCAGGCCAGGGGTGAGTGAGCATGGCATGTTGGCCAAGTCTTTCCTTTTTTTGGCTATCTTTGGGAGTTATTCTGGATCTTGGGAGGGCTGCTTCTTTTGGATGCTCTTTGGGGAATTCTCTTGCATCATGATTAAGTCATAAAAGGTTTACTGATTTTGGTTTTGAGTCACTTGATAGATATACTTTCGGTTTAAAAAAAAGGAAAAAATAATTTTAAAAAAGGAGTTCAACACTGTCAGAAATATTTACTGTTTGTCCTGACTGAAACCTGATAATAAGATATTTGAAACAACTTTTTTAAAAAGAGCTCTACAGTAAAAAATTAGTCTAATTAGAAGCTGATAGTCAAAGCCTAATGGGAGCTATGTTTTTTAAGGCCTCTCTGTTCTACTTCATCCTGTTTCTCCCATGGGAACTTCTCAGTTGACTGAAATCCTCTTCTTGGACCCCTGTGGACTATATGTTCCACCAACTCTGTCCACCTCCTTCTTGTTGGCACAGTTTTGCTGAGGATAATTTAGAACTTCACTGGCTTCTTTTAGAAACTTAAGGTCTCCCCAAACTGGCTCCTCTAAGACCTCTTCCTTCCCATTGCTTCTGCTCCTCCTCCTTCCTTTTGCCACCTTCGATCTTCCATTCAGTTCCCTTGAATCCTTTCTTACATCCGCCTTCAAACTCCTACCTTCCCCATCTGTCTGTCGACCCCCGCTAGACTTTTCCCTTGCCACTTCAGCCCTCAGATCCCTACAGTCACTTATATAAGGCCCCTATCCTCTATCAGGGGCTCTCAAGGGACTCAGAGAACCCCAGAAGCAACTACCTGAGGCTGAAAAGGGAAAGGGAGCCATTTGGAAAATGGGAAAATGAAAAAATCTTAAAAGTCTTTTCCACAAATACTAGTAGAAAGCTTTCGCCATCTCCACAGGTAACCTTATCTAATTCCATTTGCACAAAACACAATTTGGATCCAACTGTTCTTTTATAAACTAGTGAGTTTTGTATTACTGTACTTGACGCATGGCTAAAATTTTAAAAAGACAGTTATAAGATCTCTCTGTGTTTGCATGTTTGTGTATATTATAGATATGTGCTATTTCTTTCTCTGGATGGTACTGCCAAAATTAATTTGTAAAAGAGCTCAATTTAATTGACTTAAAGAAAAAGAAGTGCTATATTAATTAAACCTTCTCTCAGAGAAATATAGAAACTAACCCAAATGTTTTTAAGCTCATGTGATTCAGGTACTCTTTGGTAAATAAGAATATCGTTAGTTTAGTAAAAACAAGCAAACAAAAAAACCCAACCAAACAAAGAATGGGTATGTCTCCAGAGTTGTCAGCATTAAAGATAATGCAGAGATACAACTTTTTCTACCTGGGTTTACTAGGTAATAAGTTCATATTAGATCTATGTTACAAAATTTGTCAACGAGAAAAATAAGATGACGGCTGGCTGTTTAATGTCTCATGAAGTTTTCATGAGTAATGAAAACATACTTGTTAAAAGGAAGTCAATTAAATATTTGTGCATAATATCAGATACGATCAGCCAGCTTTAAGGAACTAAGGTTGACTTTATAGAGCCAATAAAGCTCCTTTCAAAAAAAAAAAAAAAAGCCTGGTATCTTGCTTTCATTGTTCCCAGCCTTGCTAGGTGAGTAAGGAAGGTCACTTCCTGGCAAACCCAATGAACCTTAGGATTTCTTAGGGATCTCGAGAAGAGAGAAATTCACTCACTCTATAGGTATTGCAGGCAAAGTCTGATGGTGATTCCTTGGCTTGGCATCGTAGCCTTGAAAAGCTTTTAGAAGTCCAATCTGAGATTCCTTCTGAAAAGCTCCAGCAAAGCAGACTTAAAAAGACCCTATGTGGTCAATCACCATTCTTGCTGCACTTATGCAAATAATCTGGCCAAGTTTAATGAGACTAGACTTAGACTGCAAACAAATTAGTCTTACTGTGATTATCTTTGGTAGAAATGGAGATGACTGTAGAGAGAAAAAATCATGTTTCAGTAGCACACTTTTGTGGATATCAGATTCTAGTGCTATTCACAGTCTTTGAGGTTTTATTATCTACCTGTAAACTGAAGTGGATCCTGAATTCTTCCAGTTTCCTCCAACACCTGGCAATGACTCTCCAAACTAACATTTCTAATTTTCTCTCACCCTCCTAAGTTGGAATTGCTGAGAACAAAAGCTGCCCTGTTCCCAAAGCCCTGCAAGCTGAAGCCGGACGACTTGTGCTCCTGGAGACAAGGATAACTCTTGTGTTGTAGTGTAACCTCATTTCAGATTTTTACTAATAATCTTAAATTTGAAAATGCTTTTCTGTTCCATGTTTTAGTACTTCATTCGATCCTAGTAATAAATCTTTGAGGTAGTATAGATAAACTTCTCAAATAACCATGGTAAAATGCAAATTTAACAAGTATTATAAAATTTATAAAGCTCAGCACACAAGAGGAAAAAAAAAGTTTTAGAGTGATAGTAGACTTCAGAAAGCTTCATAAGAAGGAAGTGGCAACTTCCAGTCATAAAATAAATAAGTCCCAGGGATACGGTACAGCATAGTGGTTATAGTTAATAATACTGTATTGTATATTTGAAAGTTGCTAAGACAGTAAATCTAAAAAGTTCTCGTCACAAGAAAAAAAATCTGTAACTACATATGGTGATGAATGCTAACTAGATTTATGGCAGTGATCATTTTGCAATACATACAAATATCAAATCATTGTGTTGTACACCTGGAACATAACGTTAAATGTCAATTATATCTCAATTAAAAAATTAAACACAGAAGGAGGCGGCATTTAAGGCTTTAAAGAACAAGTAGCATTTCTACAAGGATGGTAAGGAAGGCCTTCCTTGTAGGAAGAAAGGATGTAAGCAAAGACCAAGACAGGTAGGCATAGAGCATGTTCAGAAATTACATTTCCAAATAACTACTATGGTTTAGCTAAAAAATACTATGTGTGGAATAAAGTAATAAAAAAAAAGAATGAAAGGTACATATTGATCTGACTGGAGCAACGAACGGCTTCAAATTTGGAAGTGCTTTGAATGCCACATTAAATAATTTTACATTTACTCTGGAGCTAAAAGAGCATCACACAAGCATTTCTGTGGAAAGATTAACCAAAGAACGAGTAAGATCCCCGGCTTTAAAAAGTAGCAGGCAGGAGAGTGACTGGAAGGGAGACAGGCTGGGGGCAGCAAGTCCAATTTGGAAGCCACTGCACTAGCGCAAAGAAGAGGAAAGAAGAGTCTAAAACATTTAGCACAGGTAGTGGGAATGAAAAAGGGAAAAAGCAAACTGAGATGCTGAAGAAGTAGAATCAACACTTGGGAGGAACGTTAACACCCGAAAGGTAAACTTAGAAGAAATTCCCTTAAAGGAAACCGCCTGAGTTTACCAGTGAAAATGAGTAAGAGCACCAAGTGAGAAACTGTCCCAAATTTCACCTTTAACTACCAAAAGTGGAATGTTGATTGAAAACAAAACACTCCGGTTCCATTTTCAAATAGCGCACGTAACAGAACATAACAAAAGATTCAGTCTCCTAAGCAACGTCCACGACCACATTTAATACTATTCTTTAATTCATTTGAACCGACGTTCCCGAGAGGCATTTAACTGGTTTATACAAGTGTTAATTAAAATCCTTCCTTCTCACCACTCAGAACCCTCCCCCAACACACACACACACACGCCCACCCCCACCCGTGCTCCGACAGAAAGCCCACCTGGCCTCGGACAGCCCCTGCACACGTACAAGCCTTACCAAGGACACCCTTTCTGTTTCTTGAAGTTCCTGCGGCTTCTGGAGCATAGCGTCCGCGTCTGGTGGCTCGGTGCGGGAGCTCAAGGGCCACTCACTGAGGGAGTGACCGCCACTTTGGCCCACCGGCCACTTCGCTCCGCACGCCCCAGGCTCTGAGGCACACATTGCCGATTTCGCTCGCTTGACACACCCCTTTCCTCGGGCCCTTTTCCTTCTCCACCCAGCACATTCCTCACGTCGTTCCTCGGAGGTACCACGTGTCACTTCGTCCACTCCCACCCCTACCGAGCTAGTCCTTAAGGACTTCGACACCGTCCCCTCCACTCAGCCGGGCTTCACACAAGCCCCCTGCACGCCGCCTCCGGCTCCTGCTCTGGGAGCCGCCCCGGCCGCGCCAGCAGCCTCTCGCGCCGCCGCCGGCCTCCCCGCGCCCGCCGCCCGGAGCAGAGCGCCATGCTCACCTTCCGCGCAGCCCCGCCGGCCGCGCGCACTGGGGGCGGCGGTGCAGCTCCGCCGGGGACCTCAGGCCGCCGAGCCCGCCGGGTCCCCGGAGACACCCGACGCGCAGCGCCGCCCGCTTCTGCTGCCGTCGCTGGCGCCAACCCCTTGCGGCCCGGGCGTTTCCGGGTTCCCGCGGTCCCGTCTCCCAAATGCTCCGGCTTCCTCCTCGGCCCGGGCAAACGCCGTTCCCGGCTCCCCTCCGGGGACCCCAGCTTGGCACTTGCCAGCTCCGTCTCGAAGGCGAGGTCCCTGGGCTGCTCCGCGGGCAGCCCCCAGCGCCAGCTTCACCGTCCCGTCACCGCCTAGGGCAGTGGCTCCCGCTAGATGGGTCCTAAGGGGACGAGGCAGGCGGGGTGACTCCTGCCGCGGGCCTCTGCGGGGGCTGTCTGGTTGCGGAGGATGCCAGTGTGTCCAACAGCTAAAGCAAAGGCAAAGTCCTTTGGGGCAAAGTACCATTTGAGGGAGTGGGGAGGCGGGTCCAGAAAGCAAACAAACCCGCTTCTAGAAATCACTGTCACTGACATTGAAAACACAGGAGATTAGCTCTGGCGCTGGCTGCCACCCAGTAATGTGGAAAAAAGCATGTTCACTTGGCAATGACCGCTTCTCCCACCCTGGCTGAGAGCTTGAGGCTGAGCGCAGCCCAAAGCGGCACCACCCGGGGGCCTAGTGCCATTAACCAGGAGAGGACAAAAAGAGCAAATGGGGCCAGAGGATCTCGGAGGTACAGGGGACTAACCCCTTTCAGGCTCCATGGATCCCTTACACAACATCACTCTTTAAAGTCCTTCCAATATCTCTGTTGGAAACCTTCCAACCACTGCAGCCCATTCTAGTGCTGTTCAGGATGAAATGAATATTCTAGGTCCAGTGCGATCATCAATAGTAGAGTAGAAGTATCCCTTAAACTTGCTTAATACATCCATCTAACACAATCCCTTAAAACAACGCCGCTATGCATTAAACCTGTCTCTTTGCACTGCGAATGATTAAAACTACGTCCAAGAAAGATACGAGAAAGAGAGAGCAAAAAAATAAAATTAAATAACTGTGTTAGAGTAGAATAACTGGCTTTAAAATTTTCTGTAATATGATCTTGAAAAAATCCCTGTGTGGTGGAATTATATTGGATCTTAATGTGGTGTCCAAATACTTTGGAACTATGAAACGTGCCTGGTACATAGTAACAATAGCTAGGCACTATTCTAAGATATATATCTATATATCTATATAGATATCTATATATCTATCTTAGACTATATATATTCATTCAAAAAATAGTAGGTACACTGTAACTATGTGGGGTTGTAAGGGGAAAGAAAGATTTGAAATACTTTAAAAATACATCAGCAGGAAAAATATACCTTACTATATAAATATGTTTTTTAGAGAAAAGAAAGACCTTTCAGTCCATTCAGAAAGTTTTAAAATAAGAAACATGAGAAGTGGAAGCACTTATAATTATGAAACATTAACATGTGCTTTGGCATCTTGGAAAGGCATGAAATTGAAAATGACCAAAACTCTATTCAAACAAAAGCAGCAATGAAAATAGTGGACCAAATATATGAGACCCACAATTGATGTAGACGTAAGCGCTCCCAAAGTGATGATCAAAGGAAAGTAATGCGTTCATTAGCCTTTCCTGGCTTTGTAATTTATACTCTAAAAATATTGAATTGCTTTGAGTTTCCCTGTATATACCATTCACAGTACCTATCCCTATTCCTCATACTGTCCACTAAGTATAGAGTATGTTTCCACTACTCCCCCATATTTTTTACAGCAAGCCCCACTCATCTTTTATTCTCTGCTCAGATATTATCACAAACTTGAAGCCTTTTCTTGCCTCTTTCCCCCAGGGGGTCTGAACTGCTTCTCTGTGGTCCCATAGCATCTTGAGGCATCCTGTGCATATGAAGATAATCTTACTTACTTCATTGTATTTGTTACCTGTTTTATAGCTATTCTTTCTGCCCAACACTTTCCTTGAGGTCAGTGCTATCCTATTTATCCTATTTATTTCTCCAGCACCCAGCACAGGGCTTAGCACATGATAGAAACTCAACACGTATTTACTGAACTGAACTGCACTGGTTGGTAATGATGTTAAAGACAAGCCAGACAGCACAAAAGCTCACCAGGGAAGAATGTCAGCAGAGCCTGAACTGGAAGTCCAGGCATCTAAAACATAGAAAGAAGTCAAATCAGTACTCAAAGCCTGAAGCTCTTTTAGTAATATCAATCCAATAAGGATTGTACCTTTAAGTAGTTTGTCTATATCATCTCATTTAACACTCACGACAGCTCTATAAAGTAGGCATTAGTACCTGTATTTACAGAAGGATAAACTGAGGCTTACAGATGTTAAGTAGCTTATTGAAGTTCCCATATCTACTGAAAGGTAAACTGGCATTCATCCTAATTTGACTGCCTTTAAAGTCCATGCTTTAAAACACTACCCTTAGCTGTCATAGGAAGAAAAAATAGGACAGAAGGGGAATAAGCACAGTATAGAGAAAAGGTGGTAGATAGCAAAGAAGAATCAGTGAAGAGTAGGGATGGTCATGAAGAAAGAGAGAAAAACAGCAGTCTGGGGACACTGGGACAGAGGACCAGCTTTGGCCTCTCTGTTAGAACAGATCTGAAAGGCAAAATTTTGTCACCCTAAAGACTAATGAAAACAACATATTGGTCTAAGGGCAGCCAGGGCCAAATAGGACTATGTATCTCAGTGGTACTTGATTAGGGTTGTCAGATAAAATATAGGACACCTAGTTAAACTTGAATTTCAAATAAACATGAGTAATTGTTTAGTATATGCAATATTTGAGATATACTTATACTAGAAAAATTCATTGTTTATCAGAAATTCAAATTTAACTGGGTATCCTATATTTTTATTTGCCAAATCTGGCAACCATATTGCAAGCATGAGTACATTATAATATTGCACAATAACTGTGATTTCCAGTGGTGCCCCAGAGAAATTAAGAACAAATCAAATTATATTTGGTGCAGATGACACTGCAAGCATTGTGCACACCAAGTGACATTCGCCAGATAAGTATTTTTAGGCAGAGCCAAGGCTGGTAGAGAACAGGGACTATGGTGTGTGGAAATTAATAAAAGAATCCTCAACTATATTGGAGTTGGGAAGGCCTGTCGGGGGTGCTTTCATGCCCTGTCATACACGGTTGCTCCAAACAGGAATAAACGTTGGCTTGCATCTCCTGCAGAAGGTGCAACTACTTTACTACTGAAGGAAGATTTCTCTCCCCTCCTGACAACAGCTCAGCCAATTGCCACCCTGGACTGTTAACTTTCCTCCGATGGACTTTCCTTTAGAACAGTGCCTCCCTACTCTACTTTTGCTCTATAGAAGCAAGCTCACTCTTTTTTCTCTCTGGATTTGGCTATGGTTTATCATAGCATGTACATCCAGAATGGTAATTCTTTGCTGATCTTGAATAAATCCATTTTGGAGAAATCACTGGCTGTTTGTTTAACATTTGGTGGCCCATATGATATCGAACCTGAAGTGAGTTCGCTCATCCATTGTGCAGCAAGCCAATCTCTGACACCGGGTGTAGTGGAAGAAAGTAGGAATTTTATTATTGCACAGCACTGAGCAAGGAGAGAGGGCAGCTAATGCTGAAATCCAAAACTCCCCAGAAAACTAAAAGGAAGGGTTTTATTTGGGGTTTTAGGTAGGGGAAGGGGAGCATATGGCTTTGCTGGTCAGAGCTTTCCCACCAGGCTGTCTTTGGCCTTGAGACTACTTGCAGAGAGGAGGGAGTCCGTGATCTTGCTGGTCAGCAGCTTTCCCACCAGCCTGTATTTCCAGATGATGAATCCAGGTGCTTGTCCTTGGCGGTGTCTGTCTCCATGGAGGATAGTAGATTCTGGAGACAGGAAGCCAGGGAGTAAGCAGGGAAAGAGTGTTTTGGTTTTAACCACATATATGCTGGGTTTAATGTAGGGAAACTGATATAACGGTTGGTATCACATACAGGGATCCAGAGAAGACCCCTGACGACTCCCAGACTGGCAAGCAAACAGGTGTGGTACCCACAAAAGAGCACATTGACCTCGCCGCTATTCTTGCCAATTCTGGAGTTTGAGAGTAAGATTTTCTCCCGGGTCTGAGCTTCCACCTCTTTGCATTCAAGGCTCTATAAGCTTTATTCAAGATCTGTTTTAAGGCTTCATCCTTTTCTGGTTAAGGCTTTGTCTGTGAGTTCTTGGGTGGCACTTTGGCCTGACTCTTTGAATCAGGCTGTTTCTTTGAACTGTGCTAGCCTTTGGTCTGATCCTTTTTTGAACCAGATTGTTCCCATACTTGGAACTGGTTAGCCTTTGGTCAGACATGCAGACTGTTCATTGGAACTGTTTGGAGCTGTGCTTGACTCCCTTGGGAGCAGACTGTCCCTTAGAACTGCATTGATCAACCTTCGGTTGGACTGTTCTTTGGAACTACATTGTTCCCTGGTCCATCTTAATGAAATGAACTGTTCTATTGGGGCTGGCTGGCATCGAGCCTGCAGGTTGTTTGAGCTGTTCAAGCTGTTTGAGTTACAAGCTGTGTGAGAGCTATACCTTTGCTCTAGAGAAAAACCTCTAAGAAACAGGATCTCAGTTAGCTACATATTTGGAGGGCACCCCCCTCTACAGGGACCCCAGCTGATTGTATGTTT